TGCCGTAACTGTGACTTTTCTACCAGCCGTACCCCATGGTGTGGTCTGCTCGGTATTTTCACAATCCTGTTAATGCTTTGTCTGAAACCGTAAGTAAACAAACGTTTTAGTATGACAGACAGATACAACGCAGGACTTCGTACGTAAGTACATCAGTTCAGGTTGCCATACTAAATCAGCGCTGAGACGCAACTGTCAGTTCAAATCCGAGAGAGATAGCGATTGTCAAAGTATTAGCAGTAATGGAGAAGATTAGAGGGCGAAAATATTACTCGAGAAGTATCATTCAGTAAGTTAAATTTAGGAGAAAGATGAAGATTACGAGGAATTCAGGTCAGAATTAGAGAGAACACAAAGGGTGGATGCATATAAGTCATTGCCACTCGAAGTCTCTAACTATTGATGAGCTTCGTCTCGCGGACCCCAACCAGGTAGCCTACATCTATCAACATGACTCAGTTCACTTATCAGTGACTTCATGGATTTCTGTCATGTTTTGGCTGCCCCTACATACTTCCAACCTACTCCTACACTGCAATACACAACTCGTCGCGGCAGTCGGTGGTTGTGCATACGTAGCACATGTCCCAACCACCTCAACTGAAGTTTTACTACTTCATCTATTGATTTGCCATCCCCAACTAGAACTCGTTTCCTAACGGAAGCCAATTCCTTCAATTTTCAGCTTTGCAACCATACTCTCCCCGGAGCCCAAAGGTTTCGCGGGGTTATAATATGAGGAACCGTATGATTAACTGTGGTTTCAACAGTTTTATTTATACTTACTTTGATATATCCATAGAAAAGTCGAATCTTAGTCAGTCAGATAAAACGTAGAACTTCGTACGAAGGTACATTATTTCAGGTTGCCATACCATATAACACAGAGACGCAATTGTCACTTCAAATCCCATAGTGGTACAGATAGTATAACTATTAGCGGTTATGAAGATTAGGGTTCGAATATATTATACAAGAGGTATAGGTCAGTGAGATAACTTTAGAAAGAGAAAGATAGAGGTGATGAGTAATTCACGTTAAACGGTTAGAATTCGGGAGAACACAAAGAGTGGATGCACCTGAGCCATTGCAAACGTTTTTGAGCCCAGTCGTTCAAGGTCTCAAACTACCTAGTTAGGTCCAGTGTTGGGACGACATTGGAGGTCGCCGTGTCAAACGATGATCCACTTTGTGCTTGAAGATAGTGTTTGCTAGAAATAGGCACATATTCGAGCATAGCTGCAGCCAGCGGTCGCCATTATCTGTTCGGTCAGCCGCGACACCATAAGATCCACCCAGGTGTCTTTCCTTTTCACTTAGTCTACCTACTTAAGCATGGAAGTCACCAGCTGCTATTACTATATCAGAGAGCATAAGATTTTGGAGGAGTTCTAAAAGCTTTCTGTAAAACTCATCTTTAACCTCGTCTGAACTGCAGTCAGTGGGAGCGTAGGCAGAGACAACAAAGAGGCAACGGAGAGTTTCCCTATCTTCCAGAGTTCCTACTGTCCCGTTCAGTCGAACAGCGCATAAGCAACTACCAACTAGGATCCAGTGTGGGAATTAATGCTACACCTACACCAGCGAGGCCCCGGGAAGCAGCAGCAGGGCTTCCAGATACACGAAGAGTAAATCTAGCTGGTTCTTTCTTCTGACATCATGATGTAAAATGAATGACACTACTCGGATCCTGTATGCGCGTTTCGGAGACGCCGCATACATCGATAGCGCGAGATTCTGAAGTCAACCTAGGGAAGCCTATTGTCCTGTTCGACACACTGTAGGTATATTAGAAGCGGGGTTTCAGGACACCAGGATTAACGTTTCGTGAACTCGAGTCGTTTGCATTAATGGTGCAAGGTGTTAAAAGGATGTGAGAAGGGTGAAACGTGGAGATAAGAGAGATGTTAGGTGTAGGAAGGATTTGATTTTGACCGATTTGGTTTAGGGGTGCTGTTACGGGTATGAGGCGAAAAACAATTCCTGGCTGCCCAAACCGTATAAGTTTGTTTCTTGAAGAACCTGAAAAGGAAGGTAGATCAGTGTTTGTCTTAGAGACCTGAGAGCGTGAGAAGTTTTTAAAGTATTAGCTACGCTCCTGTTCAGAAGGCCATGCCGCCGGACACCGAAATCCGTGAGATAAGGTGTGACATTTGTAGGGTCGACCTCTTCTAACCCCTTCCTTCCTTGTGAGAAGGCAGCATCGCTGCATATGCAGGTTGTCCGAGAGGAAAGACTTACTGCTGTCAAACTTCTCTACAATCAGCAGTACGACTTCACCCTCAGACCTTGAGTAGTTGCTTTTACTCTCATCGTCCTCCAATCGACCTGCATTGCACGATAGGACCTACAGGAACATATGTTCCAGCCAATATAGCTCGGTCAGGTCACTACGATAGGCAAGTCCGACCACCACAAGGCAGCAGCTATAGTCGGGGATCGAATCTAAAATACAAAATTAAAAAAATCAGTAAGTTAATACGAACTGATAGGCAACAAAAAGCATTCTGCGGTTTTATGAAGATACTCACATTGGTTTATTCATTGGATGGCTCTTTTTTGACGAGCTCTCTCTGACATATTTCTTTCGGGAGACGGATTTTCTTTTCTCAGCTCATGCGGTTGCGAAGAATTGGGTGGACTGGAAAAAAACGTTTTTAGAAAATGTGAGTGGTTAACGTGTGATAACCTATTACAATGGAATTAGATCATTTGGGTCGCCAATAAATAACTCGTAGCGTCCTTTACTTCAGAACGGTCTGGGTGGTCATAAGTCAAGAGTTGAAAACCACCATATTCTAAATCCGATACTCTTACCGTACAGCACATAACAGTATCCAAATTACTTAAACTAGAATAGCACAATTTGCATCAACTTATGTCTAATAGTTGCTCTTCCTATTGCTAGTAAATGCTGATGAAGGAATTGTGAAGCGTCAGTAATTTTCAGGTACCTTGAAAAGATCCCGACCGTAGCTGCTACCTTGACGTGGTGGTCGGTCTTGCCTATCGTAATGATCCAACCGAGCTATATTGGCTGGAACATATATTCCTGTAGATCCTACCATGCAACGCAGGTCGATTGGAGAACGATGAGTCATGTTGGTAGATGTAGGCTACCTGGTTGGGGTCCGCGAGACGAAAGTAACCGATGGTTGGAGACCTTGAATGACATGGTTCGATATCTTTCAAGATGGCATTCATTCATTGTGTTCTCTCAAATTCTAACCTTCTGAATTTCTCTTCCTAAATTTATATCACTGAACTATACTTCTCGTATCACATCTTCGAACCATAATCTTCTCCATTACTGCTAATGCTTCTACTATCGCTACCACTATGGGATTTGTACTGAAACGTGCGTCTCTGTACTGATGCGGTATGGCAACCTGAACTTATGTACTCATGTACAACGTTCCACGTTGTAACTGACTGACTGGCCTTGAAAAGATAGAAATGCTTATCTTATATTTTAATAACATGATCATTAAACTTTGGATGCAGCCTACTACAATACTGTTCGAGAAAATACGTTTCTACATGTCTATTTAATTAGGCCCATGAAATGCCAATACAGTTATGAATACATGTGTTGATATGATTGCTTTAATTATCAACAGAATGAAGCAACACTAGAGTATTGCTAGATCCAATATACAAAAAGGAATTCCAAATACATTACTCTGTTTTATTTAGGATTGAAACGACTTTAACATCAAGTTAATATAATAAACATAAAGCTTACGGGTATCCTCTTGGTGGTGGGCCCCCACGACCCCTGGTGACTTGGGCGCTTGGCGG